CTTCTGATATGGTATGTACAAAACAATGACATCTTTTAAAATTGAAGAGAATGCACAATGGAAATATAAAAGTTTGATTGATTGATTGATTGATTGATTGAATGCTTATTCCATATCCCTCCAAAATGAAACATTTTGGGAAGAAAGCTGCCTCTCCCCACATTGTTGCATTTCTGTCCCAATAGCAGATATTATTAATAATAATAATAATAATAATAATAATAATAATAATAATAATAATAATAATAATAATAATAAAGTTGGAAGGGACCTTGGAGGTCATCTAGTCCAACCTCCTGCTCAGGCAGGAAACCCTATACCATTTTAGACAAATGGCTGTCCAGTCTCTTCTTAAAAACTTCCAGTGTTGGAGCATTCACCACTTCTGGAGGCAAGTTGTTCCACTGGTTAATTGTTCTAACTGTCAGGAAGTTTCTCCTTAATTCTAGGTTGCTTCTCTCCTTGATTAGTTTCCATCCGTTGGTTCTTGTCCTGCCTTCAGGTGCCTTGGAAAATAGCTTGACTCCCTCTTCTTAAAACAATAGCTTCTCAGTTGGGGTTATTTTATTCAAGTCCAATAACTGAAATTGAAGTTAATTGACCTTTATATGATGGATACACAGAACAGTACTTAAACCGCACACATGGAGAGCCAGTTTATTTGAAAAGCAAATTAAATTAATTGACATTCATGTGAAGCTCTCTGTTGCTTATTGCTAGCTGCTCATGTGAATAGTTTGTTGATGGTATTGATGGGACAAACATTCATTTCTGATAAATAAGATTTTCAGTTGAATAGTTTTTAATTAGATGAGTTCTACCTGGACTTTCATTTGTACAATTTGAAGCTAATCCTTTCAGCTAAATGGTTAATGCCTCCCTCTTAACACTTGAACATAGAGGCTTCAAACTCAAATAATCATGAAGGCTACATAAGGACTATTAATCCATGCAATACCGAAGGCTTTTCAAATATTGATACAAAAGTCCAAGTGAGTCAAAAGTCAAGAAAATGAAGAATACACTAGGCATAACCACGCAGAAATACAACAAAGGAGTGCTTTATTTGATGTTACACATTCTCACGGCTGCTAGATTGGTGTATGTTCAAAACTGGAGGAATAAAGTAATCCCAACAGAAGAAGAGATTTTACATAAAATTTTATCGTGTGCTGAAATGGATAGGCTCACAATGGAAATGAAGGATAAGACAGAATCAGACTACTTCGAGATCTGGGACAAATTTTATTACTGGTGTGAATCAAGGAGAACTGCTTGGGTTTTAAGTCAACGTTAAGATAGAATTATATATAACTGTATATATAACTGTATTGTATAGAAGAATACTGTATGTTTATATAGAGATCAAGAATTATGTATTAATTATACGTATGAAGAGGAACAAATTGTTAGGAATATTTATTCTGGAATGTCACATTATGTCCATCTTTGTTTTAACTGTATTATAAATAAAAAACTTTAAAAAAAAGAAAAAGAAAAGAAAATGAAGAATACAACATTACGTATTAAACAAATAAAATAACAATTAAAAAAAAACCTCTGGTCCTGATTCCATGTATGAACTCCATAGCTGAACTCAATATGGATTTCACTATTCATTTACCTTTGTCTCAAACATTTAACAGTAAATCAAAAGATGAAATTAAACAAGTTAGGAAATTAAGGGATACACAAATTAATATTCCTTTGCTTTTCTGCACTTCCACCTTGATTTTTCATACCTTTTTTATCAGCTATTTAGGAAAGGGTATACTTTGTTTCCAATAGATTTTCTTTTTTTCTTCCTAGACCAGTGATGGCGAACCTTTTAGAGACTGGGTGCCCAAACTGCAACCCAAAACCCACTTATGCATTGTCAGGTGCCGGGTGGGTGTGGCCCATTGGGTGGGTGTGGCCCATTGGGTGGGCGTGGCTGCGGTGGTAACAGCAGACTGGGTGGGACTAAAAAGTTCAATCAATCAATTCCAACTTTGCAAGATCTTTTTTTTCCCGCGAAAAGTTGAAATTGACTGATTGATTGAACCTTTTTTTTTTTGCACACGGTGGCGGAGGCCTAAAGTGAAAAGGTTTTATAAAACCCAGCTGAAGGCCTAGGACTGGGGCGACAGCGCCCGTGCCCACAGAGAGGGCTCTGAGTGCCGCCTCTGGCACCCGTGCCATAGGTTCGCCACCACTGTCCTAGACATATCCCATTCCTAAAGAGAATCTTTTGCACAGAGTGATAGCCACAAATCTTTTTGCCTGTTCTTCCATAAAAATAACTAGTGCTTTTCGAATGGGATCAACCAAGGTTAATGGAAGAAGGATGCAATCACATTCTAAGACAACATATTTCCTCTCCAAGTCTCCCTGATTCTGTACCACATCTCTCCTAGAGTGTTGTTGCTTACAAAAGAAGATGATTCAGAGGGTTGCATGCAGTGTACAGATTTGAGATCCTTGCATAAGAATGACTGCCTGGGTCTTATTTCTAAATCATTTTACTCCTTCCCAAATAAAACACATGCTGCAGATGCTGCTGCCATTTATTTATTAAATTGCTTATGATAATTACAATAAACATTTATATATCAGAGATCTGACCAAACTGAGCTCTTGGAATTAGACCTATTGGAAGTTTAATATATACCCCATAGCTTCTGTAACAATTGCCAATGAATTATAATTTGAATGGGACAAAAATGGGATGAATGGGATTATTAAATACATGGGGAATAGTCATACTATATAATAGTATGTATTAACCAAATATAACCCTAGCTCAGTTTAATTAAAATAAAACCACTTTTTGTTTTTCTTTCAGTTCTGGCTAGTTTATTGTCCCATTCCAATTATTTTTTGCAGTCTTTGACATGCCTCAGATAAAATAAATGCAGAATCCACATTAAAACATTTTAACTATTGAAAACATCTGACTTATTTAGTTTGTATTATTTTATTCTCTAGTAAAACTAAATAAAAACTGGCAGTGGCATGACTAATTCTATATAGGTAAGAGATATGACTGAACTACTATAGAAGTTGAACATAAGTCCTGATTAGACTGCTATTTGTCCGACTTAGTCATCAATGAACTCTTTTGTTACAGTTTTACAGTTTGGGTTAACTAATGAGTGCAATAGTAAGAGTAAATTATAAGTAAATCTAATTTCTTGATGGCCCATCCCACCTAAGTTAAGTCTGGGTGGTTTATAGTGAAAACATACATGTAACAAGAGATTTCTTATGAAAACAAGAACACTTTCCTTTTATTCTGCTTTTAAGAACAATAAGTCACACTTTGTCTATCATCTCAATATTTTAAGTTGGTTGGTAACAATTCTCAGGCAGAAATGATATTTCCAATCACATTCCCTAAACTTTTAAACAGGAGCTTTATGAACTTTCCCATTTCTTCAAAATACTGCAGCAATTTATGCAAACTAAAATAAAGACATAAGATAGTGGAATCATGAGGTGATCCTACACCTAAACCATGAATTTTTAACAGAAATGAAGCTAAACATGCTTTTAGATAAACCTAACTGAACAAGTAAGGTCAGAAAGTGAATGGATCACAAAAACTAACTTTCTTCCCCACCTGGTTTGCACTTGTAAACATTGAAAATATGCTTTATTGTTCATTTCAAATCCATTTTGAAATCCATTTTATAAAGTTGCTAGAGCCTTATTTCTATGCTTTATCCTCTACTATTCTTTCTTCTGGACAAATATCACAATATATTATTTGCAAAGCTACTTGTAATTTATGTTTGTTTGACTCTACTAATGTACATCTTCTTAGCTGCCTGTAAGTGTTAGTATAATAGTCTAATTTTGATGTGGAAAAATTGAGACAAATCAGATTCAAGGAACTTTATGCAAACTAGTTAGCAAAATTAATTCATCTGACTTGTTCAAAGTTGTGTGATTACAGAACTTAAACAGACTTCCAGTGAAAAATCTGGCTATTTTATAGCCTCTCTAAGAAAAATCTTTACATTACAACAATTCAGTGACATTATTTTATTCTGAACTTTGGTGTTAGGGAAACTCTTGAAAATACCATAGATTATCAAGAAAGAAAACATATGGATCAAAGAACAAAACAATATTCTGTTCTCAGTTAAAGTACAAACAGGCTCACTTTGTCATAGTTTAGACACATTATGCAATGGTCCAGAAATCAATATCGCTGGAAAGGTGAAAGGAAAGAGGATGTCCGGTATCAGATGGGTGGACATAGCTACAGCAGCAGCATGTTTGGAAATGCTCAGTAGCTGGATGTCCAGACAGATCATTCTAGACAAGTCTATCTGTGTGGTCACTAAAGTGTTGACATTGACTTCACAGCACATACTTGATTTATTTTGCAAGAGAATATTTATACTGTATATCGTTACAAAATAAAGCTGATGTGATAGTACTAAGAAATAGACAATATGTACTTTTTTAAAAAAATGCTTGGCAATAAATATATACTAAATTTCTATTTGTATATCACACATATTGAAAAAGACTTGCTGCTAATAATTAATCTTCTACACTGTGAAGAAAATAATGAAATATATGGGAAAAAATAAACATATGGACAAAGTATATGTGTGTGTGTATGTGTATATATATATATATATATATATATATATATATATATATATACACATACATACACACACACACACACACACACATATATACACACACTGATTTATTGCAAAAGAAACTGTTTTAACTGATTATACATCATTCTTCACTGTGGATCAATTAAAATAGGCATAGCAATATTTCTATGAAAAAAATAACTTGTTACACTTTAATTGTATTAGGAAAAAGTACTTTATAGAAATATAGCATTAGATTAAAAGGATAGCTATATAGTTTTTTTTCAAATTAGATAGTAATTATATACATTTTTACAATATTTAAATTTAAATATTTAAATTTTAGGTAAAATTATAAAATAATGTTATTCTCCTATTGTAGAAATATAATTTCTTATATGAATTCTGTATAAAATCCAATTAGTATATTTTAGAAAAAATGCAAATAATAATATAGAACATTTATATTATTTGTTTGTAAAATTTGATAAAAGATGAAATGAAATACAGTCTCAAAATTAATAATGTACTCTATGATTATTGTATTCTTGTACAAACAAATCAATTCAGTGCATTTCTTGAAACTCCCAAATAAGTATTAATAATTTGCTGAAAATGTAAATAAGTTTCAATCTGATTCAGTGATGGAAATTTTCTGGATGACATCAGGCAGATTTTCTGCATCAAGGTCTTCTTTACTATTGTCTGACATTTCTGGTGAGATATAACAACCAGAATCTCTTTCATTTAATTGTAGTTTGTTAAGGCTGAGGTTAGGGTTTAACATCTGTGGCATTGGTTCTGTTTCCTGGTCTTGTTCATCTAAAAAATAAAAAAAACAAATACCTAGTCAGCTAGAGATTAAAGCTACTTCAACCCGACCTGAGAAAAAGCATAAAATAGCATACAAAGTTCTTCCATTAGTGACATAAAAGTTTCTTATTGAATCACAGGGAATTTCTCCAGGATAGGATGGATCAAGTCCTGTGGAATTCTCTATAGAGAGGTCATTTGGTCCGGTAGTTAAAGCGCCAAGCTAGGAACTGGGAGACTGTGAGTTTAAGTCCCATCTTAGCCATGAAAGCCAGCTGAGTGACTTTGGGACAGTTACTCTTTCTCAGCTCACCTGACCTCATAGTTGTTGTTGTTGTGGAGTAAATGGGAGGAGAAAGGTGTGTTGGATATGTTCTCTGCCTTGAGTTATTTGTAAAAACAATGAAGGCAGGATAGTAATTGATTGATTGGTTGATTGATTAAAGGAGCATATTGTTCAAGACCTCTGCAGGCTGCCCCCACATTTTGTAGTAGAACAGCAGAGGGCAGCCAGAGTGAAGACCCAACAAGGTATCAGAATAATGATGGTGAAGACGTAGGAGGCTAGCCTATATCCTTTTGGAAGAACCCTCTTGCTGTAAAGCCTGGGAGCAAGACTGATTTGAAGATCGATGTCTCAGATGTACCTATGGTATTTTAAAACATTGCAGGGAGAACCTCTGATCAAGAATCCTAGAAAGTGAAGCTCACCACTAACTTTAAAGTTTACCTTAGCCAAATGTTTAAAAAGTAGTATAAAGCCACTATATCATGCAATCCAAGATTAAATCCTAAATAGTTACTCCAAAGATATCTTTACCACTTTTGAAAGGAATTCCTCTACTAAATAGAGGACCCTCCCCCCAAAAAAAGAAAGATTGTAATAAGCAATACTATTCAAAGCAAAATATAATAGTACTATCTAGAGGGAGACTATTATTGTTCCCAAGGCTTGTCCTGCATGGTTGCTTCCTGTTATTCTTATAAGAAAGCTAACAATGCATAATACGACAAAGAATTCTATTTTTTAGCCTACTTGTCACAGAGCCTAATGGTGAATTGAGGTGAGAAAAGTGACTATCACTGTCACTGGGAATCACTGTCAAGAAGAAGGCAACAACCAGTTGGCCAATATGATTCTATTCTCAGTGAATCAGTTGTGCTCTCAGGCTACAGTTTGAACCTTCCTACTGCAGGACTGAATTTCTCAAAGATGTGACACATTAATATTTTCATATGGCTATGTGTATTTTGATTTAAAGCGTTTTACCACAAATGGCAAATGTCAGTTTTAATCTGTAAAATATTAGTTAAAGGTTCAGGATAGAGAAATCAGTTTTCTTTTTTTTTAAATCACTACTAATTGTCACTGAATCAGCAGAATGTACTATCTTATCAACTTGTAGAAGTCATGTAATTTCCCTAAAGTAAAACAGTTTCATAAAAGATAAATGGCTTTTGGTCAGAGTTATATAAGATAGCGCTAGCAGAGTCTATGATATGCATCATTTTGACATGTATATTCTATACTACTTTAGTCTGTAGGATTAGAATGGGGATATTGAAGAAATATAAAGCTGATACATACATTCTGACAGGACCTTTATTATAAATATTCATTATATGCATTTTTTACCCTTGGTTTACCCTTGAAACCTATTTTTCCCCTTAATGTCTGATTTCCTGGCTTACGTGATATTGTAAGTATAATTGTTGCAGCTTTTCCTGACTTCAATGAAGCTCTAGAAATTCAGGCTCATTTACAACTAAATAGGTCTATGGCATAGCCTTGTTGTGATTGCAGATGTGATGTATATGCGATATACCATAAGGTGATTCACTTGTTTTGGCACTGTTTAGTATGCAAACTTACAATTATGGACAATATAAAAACAATGACAGTATGCATTTCATGATGCATGCATAAATGTCCTAGATAAACCATTTTTTCCCTGCAGAAGGTGAAAGGTTTTGCCATAGAATTAGTTAATAAATTTTATTAGTGAAGTGCCATGAATTTCACTAGGACATGTGCAGAGAACATTATCATGGATATCAGGAACTCTGCTTGACTGAATCAGAAGAATTTGTAAAAATATGCTTCCCCGGTAGGATTAGTCTTTTTAAAATGAATTCCAGTTGAAGCCTGGAGACACATTTATGCTAATGTATTAATTTAGAACCACATTTTATGTTAATGTATTAGTTTTAAAAGCTTTATGAATATAATATTACTTCCTATGGAAGAACCTGTATTTTTTAATAACACAAATACTTATTTCTATTTATTTTGAATATAATCAGTATTAAAGTGATTGGCTATATAAATTTATTATCTCTTCAGTGAAATTAATTAAATCCAAAAATCTAAACTTTTGGACACAGAGATAATCCATATCATAATTAGACCCTATGTCAATCAAGCATTGCAAATTCTTTTTCAAGGAAAACAAACATAAGCCTCCAAATTTTTGAGAACATTGTCCCATCCAGTTTTATACAAATGATCATTTATATATTGAAGGAAAGGCTAAGCTTGATTCTGAGTATTTTGGTATATTTTTTTCTAGCTGATAACTAGCCATCTTATAAAATTATGCTTCTGATAACCTAAGCTGTACACATAATCAATTTTAATTAGAACAATCATTTTTAGCAGGCAGAATTATAAATATTGACCTTGGAAAGTTGATTTCAAATGCAATATTTAGTTACACCAAAGATGTCCAGGTTTTTCAACCCAATTTTCCACTTGGTTTGATTTCAGTGCTGCAATTTTGCAAAGGTCATGCAGAATTAGTTATTCTGCTAAATGTTAACCCCAAGAATACATTGGCTTGCCTTTCTTTCATTACAATTAATTCAGTAAACAACCTATTATGCATCTTCACATACTTTTCTTTTCTAGACATCTCCATTACCTTGTTTATTTATTTAGTGTATGTTAGTCTCCATTACTAATCTATAAAGTTAAAGAACTATTATTCTTTAGCAATTTGGAAGCCACTTTGCCACTGAGGACTTCATTTTTAAAAATCTGAATACATGTCTCCTGCTACATGTACAATGTCAGCAAAAGAACATAAAACATACAAATATCTGATGCAAGATTTTGTCCAGGGACTTTAAGACTATGATCTTCTGAGGAAATAGTAGCCATCAGAATTCCAGCTCCAGTAAGTTTAGAAATAAACACCAACAAAACAAATTGACTTTTCAATCTAGAAGTTCATGGAGAATTATACCAAACTAACATCCTTCTCTCAAGCAGCACTCATCTCTTTATTTCATGCCCATAAACATTATCCCTGTACATTTTGGAGCCTAGGAAGCATTATATATCCATTTTTGCATGAAAAATGCATTTTTTTAATTTGGAAAAAATGCCCATCCACACCCTAAGATCATGTAAATATTTTTGGTGTTGGATATGAGCACTACCTCTGACCCAATTCTGTTAATAACAGTCGCTATTCCCTTTCTTATATGATTTTCTTTACAAAGTAGAGAATTGGATGGGGTCTCTGCTGTTAAGTGTCATATTCCAGTCCATTTCAGTTTGTTGATTCTCAGGGTTTAAATATTCATCTTGACATTTCTATGCTGATAAAATTAAGGTTGCCTTAGCTCACACTATAAATGATTATGTACATATTTTATAGCATCAAATTTTCCTATTATCTTTGGATAATCAGCAACTGGATGTCCTTTCAGCTTTAATTCAGCCATTTTACAAACACCCATGTTATTCATACTTGCCTTCTGTACTTCCCCAGCAGCTCATTGGATATCTTCCATCCTAAGTGACTCGTCTACAATAGCATATTGACATTGTTCTGTTTATGTATATCTGTATGGTTTTCTTAATAAAAATATTGGAGCAAATGTGCCATTTTCTTCAGCAGTGCATCCCATGCCTGCGATGGGCAATCAGGGTAACTCTGGAAGTGTAATTCTCAATATTATAATTCATAGTGTTATTGAGAAATACATATTCCTTCACCATTTCCAATGAATAATGGAAAGCTATTCTTTCATCCTTAAGATAACTTTAGCAAGTCACAGAATAGTTCAATTAAAATAAAGAAGAAATTTGTCATTGATGCCAGTGACAAATGGACTTGATCTTTACAGTGATATTTATATATTCTTTACAATAGTTAAGTGATTTACACTGTCATTTACATATTTTAAAAATATTTTTGTGGTTTCTTTCACTCTTAAAAAATGGTAAATAGATCATGCAATATATTAAAGCCTTGTGAGTCACATCTACAACTGTGTAGTATATATCCAACTTTCAGTATTATTTTTTTACAGAAATGTAGCACATACTTTCAGAGTCCTGCAGATTTTCAATAGCTAAAAGTAGCCTTGTCCTGTCTTCTGGATCTTTGATGTTAAGTTCAATTAAATGCTTTTCATGTAGATCTTTCAAATCTTCTAATGTCTGATAGCCATTTAGCAAAAGGGTTGATAAATAGTCCTAGAAGGGAAACATTTAAAATTTCAATTGTAATAAAGATTGACATTTACTTTCATGGAGTGCAGGATGGCCAAAAGGGCAGAGAGGAGTGAGGGAGACGGGGGGGGGGGGAGTTGAAAAACATGCTGCAATCGTAAAAGCAGGTGGGCTGTTGCCAAGTGCATGAATTTTGGTAATGTGACCACAGGGTACTGCAATGCCCACAATTTTGAGGACTGGTCATAACTACCATTAGTTCAGTGCTTCATAATTTCAATCACTGAACAAATGGTCACTAAAAGAGTACATCCTAATTTGTACACAATAACATTATCATCCTTGAAATAAAGTTCTTTGAAGTTGTGATGTATTGGTCAAAATGTGTTGAAACTCATCAATACTATCCCTAGCATAAATAGCACAAATATAACTAAGGCTAGTAACTTACTATATACCTTCTATATTAAAAAGAGTTTTGTGAAAGCCTTAATTAATTGTATAGGTAATATCTACAGGGCCATTTATTGCTGACTACAGCATATGGAAAACTGAGACTTAGAATGTAAGAGAATATATGGTAAAGAACACAAATTATCAAATGAAAGGACAGGAAAGAAAAATGTAGACTGATTGTAAAAACAAGAGAAAATAATGGATATACTAGAATTAAGATATTTTTCTAGAGCGGAAAAAATGAAGACATGCAAGAAAGTGAATGTATAGATACAGTTACGAATGACAGGATTAAAATATATCAGGATGTAGGAATCATCTAGACTATGTGGGCGTATATGACAGCAGAAATCCAGAGACTGGTGATAGTTGCACGCTACACACACACACACACACACACACACACACACACAGAGAGAGAGAGAGAGAGAGAGAGAGAGAGAGAGAGAGAGAGAGAGAGAGAGAGAAAGGGAGAGAGAGAGAGAGAGAGAGAGAGAGATTAACAGATCCCACCTACTCCCACCCTCTCACCCTATGAATATATATATACTAATACACACAAGCACTATGATCCAATTGCAGATGGACAGGGTGGGAGGAGGGGGGAATATGTTATTCGAACAACCACTTCTACTGTGATGCTCCCTCATTGGAGCCTCAAGCTAACTGGCAGAGCCAGGTCTTTAGGCTCTTATGAAAGGTCAGGAGGGTTGGGACCAACCTCACACTGGGGGCAAAATGTTCCAAAGGGCAGGTACAGTGGCAGAGAAGGCCTTTCTCCTGGACCTCACTAGCCAGAATAATCAGGCTGACAGGTCCCACAGCATGTCTTTCTGCCAGCAAGGGTAGGATGGGCTAATCCCAGTAGGATGAGATGGTCTCTCAAGTAGCCTGGACCCATGCTATGAAGAGCTTTAAAGATGATTACCAACACCTTGAATTGCAACTGGAAGTAGACTGGCAATCAATGGTATTACATGAGCAATTTCTTTGGGCCTCTAGAACTGTCTGTGCCATCACACTCTGCACCAACTGTAGCTTCTAAATGCTGTTCAAGGGTAGCCTCATGTAGAGTGCATTACAATAATCCAACTGTGAGATAACTAGGGCCTGAATGACTGAGCACAGGGATATCTGATCCAGGAAAGGCTGGAACTGATGCACAACCTGAAATTTTGCAAAAGCTCTCGTAGCCACAATTGTCACCTGCTCTTTATGCTGGAAATGCAAATCCAGGAGAATGCCCAAGTTGCAGACCGGATCTATCTGGAGTAGTGCCACCTATCCAGAGACAAAGTCCCAGATCTCGGAGCCCTATACACCCAAAGCCATTCAGCCTTGTCAGTGTTCAGTCAGAGTCTGTTGTCCCCCATCCAGGCCCCACAGCCTCCAGGCACCGCAACAGGGCAGCAACGGCATCACTTGGGTCATCAGGAGTGGAAATATAGAGTTGGATACTGTTGGCGTACTACAGATACCTCAACCCATGGTGATGGATGATCTCACCCAGAGGTTTCATGTATTTAAGTTTAAAACTATGTGTGCATATGGAAAATGAATGACTCAAAAACATATTAATTTGATTAATTATGATAAAAGATTGAGAATCAGTGAAAGATGCAAAGATGATTAGCTGATATAAATAAGGGATAGATACTTATTTGATAGAATCAAGAATTTTGGGGGGGAAATGACATGTAGAAAAGAAACAAAGAAACCATAGTGAATGCTACCTTGTTATTTATATAACAATCAAACTGAGTAAAATCCATGTATTCCAATTTAATTTGAAACAAAGTAATCCCCCAAAGGGGTGGAAAATGTTATATTAGTCTAAAGCAAGCCATGGGCATAAACAGCAATTTAGAACTGAAAAACAAAACTAAAAGTGAAAAATAGCTGAAGTGTACATATTTCCAGTTTTAGCTAACCTGGAGATGGATTTGCTCCAAGAATTCCTGAAGAGAATTAGGCTTGGCCCTTTTACTTTTCTTGTGTGGTTTTATCTTTCTGGGTGCAGATTCCTCTTCTGTAATCAGATCCACGTAAATAAATTTGAAGTTTCCAACCTTGTTGTTTAGCAGTCCAGTCCACATGCCCATTGGGGTTTTACAGATAATGTCAATTATATCTCCTTTCTATAAGAAGACCATGAGAAAAATAGAATATAAAACAAAGAATGTAACGAAATAACAGATGATTGCTGATTAATACTGCTGGGTTTTTTTCTATTGAAAGAAGAGTAAAGAAAAGTGAACAGGCAACTCAATACTTAATATATATTTTCTATTTTTAAGTAGATCTGCCAACAAATTAACCAAGCCAACAGGGAGTTGGGCAGTTAAGAAATAGGACAGACAGACAGACAGACAGACAGACAGACAGACAGACAGACAGACAGACAGACAGACAGACAGACCAAGAGCATGGACCAATACAAAATTTATAATTCAATAGAAATTAACTTAAAAGAACATTTTCCTGCATTTTAAAAGCACCAGGAAGCTTAACCTCTACAGGATACTATAATTTTCATGCAGTGAAAAGACCACAGCAAAATTTAAAAAAAAACCCAATGTACTATTAAAAGCTTTGCATTTTCCATAGTAAACATTAGTAACACAATGTACAACTCACAGTAGTGCACACAATTGAATTAACTGCCTGCAAAATAAAGTGCATAATATACATCCTACTTACTTATATCAACTTTAACTTTCCCAGTACGACAGAATTAAAGGAAAAAAACAACAATCCAAGCAGCAACTTACTACACAGGCAGGTATTCAAGAATGAATACTAGTCTTGTCTTCTCCCACCCCCTTTGCTATCAACATTTCACTCCTACATCATCCCATTCAGATCAAGCCAATAGAAATATAATTATAATGCTGTTATGAAGGTTGGATTAGGTAAAGTTTGGGAAAAAATAATCTAATCACAAGTCACAAAAACAATAGTCCAAGTGCAGCTGAAACACTGGAAAAACTGCTCAGATTTATAAAAATTTGGCTCAACTTAGAAACAAAACTTTAGAAATACACATTTTGATTCAAGGTGGAAACAATTGAGTGGATGCTTCAAAGTCAAAATAATTTGCACAATCCTAGTTGGGTGGGAAAAGAGATTGGTGGAGGACAAAGCAGAAAAAGAGAATTGCCATCTCCATGTACAAGTAAAAATGGTCCAAAGTATTTGAGTTAGCACATTTATTGGTTTTGACTTGATCCAAGACATGTAGATTATCCCATACTTGAAAACACTTGCATTAAATTATTACACTTTTGGAATGCCTGTGAATTTTCCCTTCAGCTAGTTTCACATCACTGATAAGCTCAGGAAAAAAAAGTAATTTAGGCAGAAGTCTCTTTTCCCCAGGTTAAAATTATTACTTTGTTATTCCTAGTCAGGAGTGAAACTCTTAATCACACCTTCCTTCGCTGGCGACACAAACACAAGCATCATCTTGTTTTTGTTAGTATTGTATGGAAAAGTGAAATACCCCCTATTGCTTTCACAGCTGTAGGTGAAGTAATATTATATAGCACTGTCTTTGGAATCATCTGTGAACAGATACTAGCAAAGAAACTGCAACAGGATTAGTAAATAGATCTATAAAAGCTTAAAGCACAAAGTCATTAATATATCTGTAGAATAAAGAAATCTTGCCTTGATTTTTAGGGAGTCTGAATCATAAGGACTGGGAGTGAAGTCTGTGTGTACTCTGGCTCTGCCACAGAATGGTCCCACATAACTGATTTCTTCATCAAACTTTAGGCTGTCTCTGTTGCTTGTTCCATCTGAACAACAAGTTACACCACCTGAAAGCAATAAAAATGGTTAATTTTTGTATAATGTCTAAGATGGGTACCATGTAAAACCTGTCAAGAGATAGAATTATAAATAAAAATCTTTACTACAAATAGCGTCAGCCTATTTTTTGTGGGGTAAGGTGAGATAGTATGCAACTCCTATTCCTATCTCTATATGCTATGTGTTTACTATGATATCAGCAGTGTTAATATTCATTTGTCAAACCAATAAGCTTTTTCTACAATGAATAGGAGGTCCTGAGTTTTTCTTCAACTCAGATAATTTGAATGCTTCAAGAAAGTGAGTATAATTTACTATATATAGCACTGGAATAGTTTTATTGAATTTATGAGACTTAGTACTACTTAAGTTTGGCTAGATCATTTCCCATAATTATTCATGCATACCAGAGACTAATTATTTCTGAGGATGTGTTAATAGATGAAGAATGTGATCCTCAAAGTCCACAAATCAGAAACACAAATGTCATTAAAATGATCAAAGCCTGAATTGGCAAAAAGTGATGTGAGGACTAGAGTGTATATCTTCCTCAAGGCTGAAAACCAATGACATATATTTTAAATATATTATTTAAGCAATCAACTGTTGAATATTTCTTCTAAATTCAGGCATATGGGAATGAGTTTTTACTGTACATGCTACTGAGTATACTTTTAGACACAAGGACTTGGATATGCTGCAGAATGAAAGTTTTAGTTTCAATGGTTCTGTTTTTGGTCAGAACGGAACAATCTTGCTTCAGCATATTTAACTAAACATTGTAGTATTCCATTCAAATGCTCTTTTGATAGCAGTGATACTGTGAATATATTTTCTCCAAAACAGCATACATAACAAGCAAATAATTATACCCTACGCATTTGTTTAAATATATCTGGGAGAAGACTAAATAGACTTGCTAGACCATGATATTTCTGAAAATGTTAAAAGGAAATGAAGTTAGGCAACAGGAATTAAATTCAGAAGTAGGGCAACGATAAAATAAACATGTGCTTTCTTTTGTGACAACAGGATTTCAAAAGAAACTAGTTAACCCATCACCCATTGGGTCATCCTACTTTCCATATATAATATAGGCTGGCACTGTTTTCTCTCACAACACTGAGCAAAAACCTATTGAAACCTCCTTGGTTGACATGCTGAACTGCCTACTACTTTCTTTGGGGTAGGCGGAACAAAGGGATCCATAGACCATCCCTGGTCTCCATCCTGGCATGTCTCCAAGGGTCCTGTCCCTTCAGAGAGACGAGGATTCAGCCTTTGACTGCTAGTGGCCCTCAGCCAATCCTAACTTGCCAGCAGACATCTCCTTTGTCCTTCACTTGCTGCCCTCTGCTATTAAGAGATTTTAAGTTTTGGCCCTAGTTCCAAAACAGTTGATCACCACTTGCCCATTGGGCTCTGCTACCAGTCGGGGGCCAGAGGGAGGTAAAAAAGAGTGTTCCTCCCATCTTCTCTTATGCCATGCAACTTACAGATTTCTGGGAAGTTTAGTGTGGCGCTAAAGTGGTTACAACTTTGCCATGCTTTAATCCTACAGGAATAATGTGTTCTTCATTTTGGATGCATTCTGTAAATTAAACAATTTGTGGTACTTTGGTTCAAAAATTGATATTCTATGATGCACTGTTTTGCCCAGTTGAAGGTTACAAACATACACAAGAATTTTAATAGCATATGAATGTTAGATGTATCTGGTTGCAGTGAACCTTGTTCTGAATTAAACTGAAGTAGAGGAATAAAATTAATCTAAGAAACATGAATTTATATTGCACAAATGCCTCCATGCACTAATATAACATATATACTATATTGTTATAGGATAGCACATAGTGTTTAATGATGAGATAAAATACAAATGTTTAAGCAAACTTTACGGTGGTTTAATTCTTCAGTAGCCCATTTCATAGTATTAATACAATTCAGACAGTCCTTTTTTTTCAATTGTAACCTTTCAATGATTTCTTGTAACTGCTTTTCTCTGTCTTTTTTTAATTGCAGAGAACCCACTAAAGAGAGAAATATGTTTAGAAGTCCTAGAAATTCATCTGTTTGGAAGTATCACATGATTGGTTTCAAGATACGTTTAGTAATGTGAAGAGCTCAGTAGAGATGTAAAAAGAGAGGTGTAAAAACATTGCATGCATTAACCATTCTCTGTATCAATTGCTAGCTTTAGATGGTTGATTTTGGTTTAATTGTTTTACTTAGGCACACATAGAAGGACACTTAATCTAGGTATAACAAATGCATTTGGGGAAGGAGGAAATAGGAACAAGGATATTGGCGGGGGGGAGGGTCGTGGTAGCAGCTGGATACCCATAAAATCGGGAAATGGACAGACTGATTGGATAGGCTACACTTGAAGCCCAGGACGCCAACAGCAATGATGGCTAAAAGACAGAAAAAAGAAAGGAGCTGAGAAGATTGGAGAGGTAAATGGGACAGATGAGTATGCTATGCTTAAAAGCTAGGGTATCAGCAGTTGTCTAAATTAATATAGGAAAAGGTATTGCTGGCATAGAAGAAGAGAGGGAGAAATAAGATTGAATCTGTCTTGCCCAAATTATTCCACATTTTATTTCATCCACAATTCAAAAGAAACTGAATGGTCTGGATTTCAGGTCTGCCAAACTGTAGACAAACCTTTATAGTGCAACAGAATTCCAAAATACAAAGGGCATATTTTTTTCCATCTGAAGTAAAATACATTTTCTGTTTCATGCAAACCTTTAGAACTGCCTGTTAAAATTATTAGAAATAAACACCTGCAAAATATTATCCTGTATTTGAGCATTTGAACTGGCAGAAGCCATGTTTATTTGAAAATATGATTGACCTAGACCTAGGGCATGAAAATTGAGTTGGTATGTCAGTGAACCATTCTGCTTTAGAATAAAGAATTACTTAGGTTTTTTTAAAAAAAAAAACACAAGCAAACATAAAATGGCATGCTTTGGTGTCATTAATCAACTCTGTGAGACAGAATGACAGCATAAAAGGTTATATAAGAATTTCTCAGTAAAATATATCTTAGTAAAATCTCTACCAGTTTTTGCTACTTGACCACTGAGTCCCACCCTACAATAGCTCATCCATAATTTTTATGTGTATTGACAATCAGATAGAACAGGGGGCTAACATGTACTTCTTATTGATATACAGTAATGTAAGAAAAAGAATTTTAGATACCATGCTCATGACTAAAGCTCACCCTCAGAGTAGTAAGGCCCACTTCCAATAACATGTATAAGGATTGTGCTATTTAGTTGAATTTATTTTTCCACCCACATAATATTTCGTGGCCAAGAAACCAGGAAAAATCAGCAAGGTATTCTGTTCTTCAAATGCTTCATTTTATCTTTACCAAATGTGTCTTGTTGTATTGTGGCCAAAAATTTGTGTTTCATCAATCAAAAGCACTTCGTCCCCCAACATTTCAAACTAATTCAAACATACTTAAGTTTAGACAATGACTTTTGTAATGCAATTGAGTAAAGATTATAGTCTGACAACTCTTACATGCAGAATATTGCTGTATAAGCCATGTTGTATTGCAGGTGATCGGACAACAACTCCAGGGTCAGCTAAAATTTTGAGGAGCTCCTTTGCAGATCTGTGCATTCTGAATTGCCGATTTGGCCATTTTTGCACAGATTTTTTTCTTGGTCTCCTGAATTTTGCCAAGTTTTATATAACCTTCATTTCTTAGCATTGTTACTCCCTGTTGAAATAGCAACCTGGGAACCTTTTACAAGTAAACCTCAACTTACAATATAGCTGTTCATTTAGCAACTGTTTGAAGTTACAAGAAGACTGAAAAAGTGACTTACAGTATGACCAATCCTCACATTTATTATTATTGCAGCATTCCCATGGTCACATGATCAAAATTTGGGTGCTTGGCAACCGGCATGCATTTATGATGGTTGCAGCATCATGGGGGAGTCATATGATTACCATCCCAATGAGCTTTCGAGAAGCAAACTCAGTAGTGGGCACTGGATTCACTTAATGACTGCATGATTCACTTAACAGCTGTAATGATTCACTTAATAATCATAGCTAATATGGTTGTAAAATTGGGCGTGACTTACTTAACTGCCTTGCTTAGCAATGGAAATTCTGATCACAGTTTTGGCTGTAAATTGAGGAATACTGTACAGTTTCTTTTGATGTCTTTTATATCCTATATATGCTTTGTAAGAACACGGTGCTTCATTTTTAATTGTTCAGACACAACTTAGAGATTATGCATTTTCTCACCTTTAGAATTGTCTTCCCCTGGCTAATTGTAGATCTAATAAATCAATCACCTTTTGTGATATTATTAATACTTTACACTTGTAAAAAAAATAGTAGTGAATCAGTTTGAAGAATGTCCCAAGTACTACATTTGCCATATCTATTTTTTATTGTGAATCTGTAATATGCATACAAAAATAGCAAGTCTGCATTGATTTTTATTATTATTATTACTCAGAGAGCATACAAACTTCTTCTCATTTATAGAGTCACTAAAAAAACATTAGATTGCCTGGAGGACATGACTTTTGCATGGAAAAGACTGGGATATTTACTTGTAGAATTCCCTACCAGGCTGATTATTTACAATTTCTGGACTTGAAAAGGGACTGTGTTATTTTCAGGCAAATTATTTGAATAAGGTTAATATTTTCAGTCAGTTACACGTGCACATATACTTTCTATACAATTATTTTTTTACTTACTTGAAGAACTTTGGCCGCTATTAAGACTATAGAGGCTGTCCATGGAGTCACTTGCCTTCATAGAAGCTGTGGTCGGTTCTCCTCCAGGGTCACTGTCCTTATTTGAAGTAGAAAAGCTTTTTCCTCCTTCGTTCTTGAGAACCAAAGACAGAGAGAGAGAACTTTTTTTTTAGATGTTGCATTTTATTACACAATATCCACTTTTTAACTTAAGGCATTTTCATTAATTAATGGCTTTCAGACAAGGAAGCATTATAACAGCAAGATTTTACATGGTCATTACATACTATTTGATAAATAATTGTGTAACAATAGCTTCACAAGAACTTTGTATAATGTCAATTACTATTACTAACAGCTCTGTTACTAACTCTTAAATAAAGCTGACCCAATTTTTTCTTTTCATTAAATCTTAAAACAAATTGGTTTCTTTGCATGAAAGTCTTAGTATACTTAAGATTTTTTTATGGGAAATCATTGAATGTAGTCTTTATTTTTCCCACAACAGGCTGCATGTAGGACTTGTGAACATGTATTTTACTTACAGAGGGAACTTGGGTGGTTATTTTCTGTCCTTTGAATAAGAATCACTAGCATTGTTTTCTTTATCAGAACATCCTTGTGGCATTTCCAGAAACCATGCACATAAATTTTGTAATTTCTTTCTTCAGTCCTTCACAATATATTTTTAGAACTGGCAATATTTATATATTTTGAGATACATATCTTAATGAATAGTCATTTTCTATTCTGCCTACCTTCTGCTAGACTCATTTTTTTTAAAAATTCCTCACAGCCTTCTTTAGTACTTTCAACAAATCCTGACCTTTCATTTTACAGACTTTCTCTGAGTCATTTCCACATTATTTTTTTTATTTTATTTTTTATTATATCTGTTTTATACTTTAATTTGAACAAATATATGGCCCATGCTATATGCGTACCTTGTTGGGTATATATATTATAAAATTCCACAACTACCTCATAGGAGGAATAAGTAGATCGACATAAATTTCCTCTGAATATGTTCTATATGCATTTTTGTTGTTCTCAGAAAATTTACTAGACTCATACAGTACAGATGTAACCAGTAAGATGGCTGCTTTTATGAATATTTCCATGAAAGGAATTGTTTGAATCAAGAGGTGTGCAAGAAGGAATAACATCCATAAGTTATATACAACATATTATTCTTTATGCAGCTTCTTCCTCCCACATTCCAATGCAATTTTAGTTCCACAACATAAAAAAGTGTCTGTGAGATTGTAGAGAAGGAAGGACAGAGGCAAGAAAAAGTCTTAAGCATCTCTTTCTGCTTCTCCATCTGTTAGAATTATATCACTAGTTTTGGGCTGCATGCCTTTCCAACATGATGTCCTTACACAGAACCTCCTGAGTATTCATTAAAGCTGTGATTATGAGTTTTATCTGATTTCTGAAAAAAAGTTACTTATATTTGAAAATTTGGAGTCTGAAATTGGTCATTTGGGATAATCTGGATAGGAAGGAGTTATGTTTCTCTTATCTTTGGAGAAAGGTATGCCCTGGGAGGAAGTTATGGTTTGCATAAAAATCAAATTTTGACTACATCCTCAAGTATGGGGAGAACCAAACATGGAAAGACAGAATTTTTTGTTGTTGCATGGTTGTAGTGTGAGAGTATCTAAGAAATGTAAATAGAGGAATATCCCTCGAGGACCTAATATTTAGTCAATGGGTTATCCACAGAAGGAATTTTTTTTGCTATAACACAATTACTTTGCTTTTTAAAATTTGGCTCAATGGAAGGTATTTATCAAAAAGTTAATCTAAGCTGATGACATATCCAGGACTTAGCAGCAAAGAACTTAAAATTCAGGCACCTTATACTAAACCTTAAATTCATTTCGTATACCATATACTTAGATATGGAAAACTGCAAGTATGCAAGCAAGCTACAACAAAATAATGGTCTGGCTTGACTAAACTAAAGTGTGTTATCTGTCCTCTTCTTGCTTTGTCGTTTTAGGGTATTTTTGTTTCAATCTTTTTGAGTAAGTAGATGATGTAGTGGAATTGTAAATATATGTGAATTGTATAATTAGAGCCATAGTTGCTGTAGTTGGCCAAATACTCATTTTATAGAAAGGTAAAATTATGAATTATATATAATTTGCCAAGAACCTGCATAAAAAACAACAACAAAAAATTGGAGCCTGAGCCTCAGAGTGCAAAACAGTAAATAAAAAAAAAGATTACCATTTCCTCTGAAAGCGCCCTAATGTACTTTTTACCCATCTTTTTCTTCATAGTCATGGAAATGGCTCTCATCTTTTTTCCAATGCTTCCTCCATTATTGGGTTTGTTTTGTCTCAATTCTGTGCCATCACATGTAGCACATACTTCATCTAGCTATTTAAAAAGAGGGCAAGAAAAAAAAGCTTTTAATAATTGTATACACAAACACACACATACATACATACTGTGTACACAAACACACACATCAACTATCCATAAATAATTGCAGCTGTCTGCAATGAGAATTGTATCTACCCGCAGGTTTCCACATGAATCAGAATCCTGTAATCCAGGGGTGTCAAACTGCTGGCCTGCGGGCCGGTTTCATCATACCGAAGCCGCGCCCAGCCCATTGCTGGCAATGCAAAAAGAGTCACGATACATCGCAACAAGTCACGTGCTATAATATCAAGCTTTCTATTTTATTCAGTGATATTATAATGAGAATCATATGCTGGATTCTACATGGCAACATATCACCTGAAATAGAGTCCCATTTCTATCATAGCAAGAGTTTCATCAGTAAGAATCCACAAATGCAGTCAAAATTTTTCTACTAGAAAACATTTTTTTTGCTTCAGCGAGAGAAGAATGTAAAAGAGATTGCCAAATAAATAAATAAATTCATAATGCCCGAGTAACTCCAGAACCTGCAAGAGAAATATAATGCAAGGCATTTGGTACAAGAGATTTGTTATCACAACAATCCCTCTTCATTTCTTTAAGGGGCTTTGAACTTATTTTAGTAACAGAAGATCTTGACTTCTCCCACTAGACGAGGAATAAAATTTGGCAGAGTAGCAAAATGAACCAACAGTTGTTGGTTTTGTTAAGATTCTTAGGTTCTGACATGCAATATGATCTTAGCATTTCAAGATCCCCAAAACAGCAAGCACTAGTATAATTAGCAATGCCATAGGCACTTTGATGTTAAACATCAAACTTGTTGTATTTTCATTATGGATAAGGTGGAGTGGGGAGGGGCAATTTTTTTCTATAACAAAAGACTGGGAGAAAAATATTTTTTTCTTTGTTTAGAAGTCATGCATTTTACTCAAATGGAGCTAAGTTGATTGTTTTACAAAATATGACTTCCATAATATGTTGAAAAGTCAAAGGGATGTGATATAAATGAACTTGACTGCACAATATACAAACCTCAGATGAATCATTTGGTTTTGATGTTGAGTGATGTCTGCGATGGTCAAATTTCCCAAAGCTGCTTGACCTCTATAAAAAGGAAATCAATGCTTATAGATACTGGATGCTGTTGTTATCTTTAAAACTGACTCACTATAATCTGGAAAAATTATTTGTCATATATTCAAGGATTACTAGTAAAAAACAATCTTAGATAAAGCAATCAGACTTTTGCAGGAACAGAAATTGCAAGTACTCTAATTTTGGATGCAAATTGCTGAGCAGGTAATTTCAATTACATTCACCAAATGAAGTAGCATACAGTATTGTGAGGCTATATTAATTAGGTAAGTAATAACAACCGTATTTCTGTGCACCATACAGATTCACTTTTGGTGAGATGGGTGGTTATACAAATTTCATAACAAAGCATATGTTCACCTTATTGCCAAGCAGTGTCATAATTTTAGGAAATAAAAATAATTAAAATAATAGTGATTTTAAAGTAAAAATTATAGATTCATTGCCTATATAATGAAAATCATAGCATACTTTAATCTATTTACCAATCATTTCTTTGTCATCTTTCATATCTTCCATGTTGATACTGAAAGTGTTTTATGCCAGGGGCTTAGAGAGATTCTTGGCATTTCAGTCTCTGTGTAACAGAAGTAGTGATCTGAAGAATGGTAGTTATACAATTGATGCTTACTGTGCATTTTACAAAGTAGCATCCTTGCAGAAATTTCAGTTTAGAAGATGTTTCAGCCTACTCATATAACACACATTTACTATCTTTGTTAAGTCCAATTTCTTTTATATTCTTTAAAACTAAAAAATGTTGGCAGAGTAATTGGTAAGCAGCATAAAATTATAATGTCAGCATTATATAACTCACAATCATATATAGACTCTGCTTCCTAGTTTCAGCTTTAGTGTGAGTTTTTATTTTAGTTTATAGACCACATTAATCTCTAATTTTCAGAAGCATAAAAATAATTTTGCAAATGGGGATCTTTGTACATCTAACTGAAGTAGGGGAATGTTTCTTTAAAACAAACTTACTTTAAATCTGCCAAACTTACTTTAAAGTATTATTTATGGTAAGTACAAACACACAAACATATCCAATACACATAAGTTGTCTAGAGAGTATTATTTTGAATTTGAATTTGAATTTGAATTTTATTATATTTATACCCCGCCCTTCTCCCAGAGGACTCAGGGCGGCTTACAGCCAGTTTAAAAACAACTAATACAATACAATACAAAATTTAAGAAAATGATTAAAAATAAATATTTAAATAGGCCGCTTCTACTAAAATTTAGTTAAAACCAATTTAAAATACCCCTAGGCCAGTCCTGCCCGCTGAAACAACCAAGTCTTGAGGGTGCGGCGGAAGGAGGGGAGATCCGGAATCACCCGGATCTCTGGGGGCAGCTCGTTTAATTCAAGTATTACAAAAGTAAATTGCCTAAAGTTACTTAATTCTTTCATGATGAGTTAATATCAATTAAGATACAGATTTCTCTTAAATTGCTTGGACTTCACCTTTGCAATTGCAGTCCGAGACATCAAAAACACTGGATGTAATCAGTGGTGGGATTCAAAAATGTGAACAACCGGTTCTCTGTGTAGATGCCGTTTCCGGAAATCCATTCTGGGCCTGGGCAACAAAAAATTAGCTCCCGGTTCTGCCAAAGTGGTGTGAACCGGCTGAATCCTACCACTGAATGTAATTACAAATTATGTGCCTGACATGCAGTATAAAATGATAAAGTCTATGTCCATGTGTAGACAAAGCTGCATATTAAGCCTGAGACTGCAGTTTGAAGTACATTCATGTAAAATTAAATTCAGTTAGATTTCCTGTCAAGGATATATGTTTAGTATTCAGGATTTTTTTTTTCTTAATTACACTTACTTGACTGGTTTACTGAAAGCCAAGCTAACCATGAATCTGATGAGGTAGCAACCATCGGTTCCTAGGCTGGAGAGAAATTTACAGAAATATGCCTCAGTGGTTCAGCTCAAGGCCACCAAGTTAACAGCCATATGTCTGTTAACTGAGAAAGTTAGAAGGAAAATGCATAGAATGTAAAGTTTGGAGCATATACTATTAGAAAGCTTTACCTTCTTCGCTTTGCAGAAAACAAACCATTTCTCCCTCTGTGGTTTTAGATTCTGCCTGAAGTAGAATCTAACTTAGCCATGTTGTTGTATATGAGAGTCTTTGGCCAAGTAATCGAGTTGCTAAGTAAGGGATTAAGTGTCTGGAGAACTGCAATTTACTGCCATGTCCTGATATGAAGGGTGACCCAATGATATTAAGAGCATGCAAGTACTTAATAAGGAATCTTAAATGAAAGGCATGATTGTGATTGATGTTGTGAATCCTTTTCCCCCAGACTGTGGCCTCAATGAACATTTCTAATCCTGCAATCTCTTTGGAAAAGCTGTTTCTAGATTCATAAATTGCACTTATGCTTTCCTCTTCCCTGTGCACCCAGGTCTCCCTTCTAATGAATTCCTCATTACTGCTACTGAAAGAAGGGGGGAAAAAAGATATATTTCTTGTACATATTTAATGCCATATCCTTAACGGTAAAAATAATAAATGCAAGATATGTGTGTGTGTGTGTGTATGTATATGTATATATAAATAAATAAATTCTATTCCAGCAAAGCACTGATTGGCTAAACTTTATTTATGCATTTGAAAAAATGAGCACAAATGAAACTCTTGGAGTAATCAGTTAACATTTGTTTAAGGATTTCTATATTGGCCTAGTGACCAGCATCTTGACATCTGATAAAGAACAGCTCAGTAGAGCGCTACAGACACAGGCCCCAGAAATACAGGTTTATCCAGCTGATTTGATACGGTTTGCTGAATTTGTCATTCCTGCTGACCATGCTCCATGATATGGGAAAACAGAAGGTAAGAAGGGTTTGAAATCAGCAATCACCTACCATCCTAATTAACTAGACAAGAAACGAGTCTAAAACATATAAGGAACGGTTGCTGGAATTGGGTATGTCTAGTTTAACGAAGAGAAGGACGAGGGGGGACATGATAGCAGTGTTCCAATATCTCAGGGGCTGCCACAAAGAAGAGGGAGTCAAGCTATTCTCCAAGGCGCCTGAAGGCAGGACAAGAAGCAACGGATGGAAACTGATCAAGGAGAGAAGCAACCTAGA